GACAGTGTTTTTTTGAAAAGCATAAATTATATGTTACTCAATTATGAAGCATACCCTCTATATTCGAGATAATACATTTATTCCTGTTAGCAAAACAGCACCCATAAATCAGCCCTGGAAAATTGTGGTATTCTCAGACTTGGACATTTACTACATGCAAGGTATTTTCCTCTTCTCCACTTCACCTTTACTGGTCATGTATATTTTGGATATCATGGAGATTTTGGGGCTGTATCCGCACTGCCGAAATAATCCAGTTAACTGCATGGCTCAGTGCTATGGAATTCTGGGTTTTGTGAAACATTTAGCCTTCTCTGTTAAAGAGCTCTTGTGTCACAACAAACTACAGTTCCCAGAATTCTATAGCATTGAGCCACGGCAGTTAAGATGGTGTCAAATTGGATTTTTTTGGCAGCGCGGATGGAGCCTGAGAAATTGCAAATGCCTCTCAAATGTGAATGTTAGAGCCCTGAAAGTTTCTTTGTTATGAGAAGTTAGAGCTTCATTTCAGTTTTTTTTACCAAAATGCCCACATTCTATAGCATGGGGAGGGGGCAAGAATGTAAAAATCTGAGTTTGAAAGAAAACAAAATTGCTGTGTTCCCCCCTCCACCTCCCCCAGACTCAGGGCTTTTAGTTTTTAAACCCTGTGCTTAAGTCCAGATTTGAATGTTTGCATATTCACCCATGAGAACCAGTGTGATGTAATGGTTTGAACTATGGCTCTGGAGACCAGGTTTCAAATCCACACTTGGCCATGGGAAACCACTGGGTGGCTTTGGAAAGTCACACTCTCTTAGCTTCAGAGGAAGGCAAAGGCAAAAATCCCTCTGAACAAATCTTGCCAATAAAATCCCATGGCATCCCTGGGGTCTGGGATGCAGCTGGGTTGCATGCGTGTGATAGAATCCGGCTTCAGAATTAAATGCGACTGGGGGAAGTCAATTTAAGATGATGTATGGTAGTCTCAAAGGTGATACATTATCTCCCTACATACTGATTCTACAGACTAACACGGCTATATCCTTGCATTCTTACACATGCTGTATTTTATTATGTACTCAACTGTATTTTTCTGATGAACCTATCTTTGTTAGAATGCCTTGCTGGCTTACAATATATCGTTGAACTCGCAAGACAAAGGGTTAAAACTGTATGTACTTTGTTAGCAATAAACCCTTTGTTATTGTTGTTGTTGTTAGCTGTCCTCGAGTCGATTCCAACTCATGGCGACCCTGTGGATGAGACATCTCCAAGAATCTCTATCTTCCACTGACTTGCCCAGATCCTGCAAGCCCTTGCCCATAACCCCCCCCCCCCTTGAGTCGATGCTTTGGAAATGATTCACCACTTTGTAATCCCTCTCTCTTCTTTTTTTATAATTCAGGTGAGCATATTCATTTAAACTAGAAATTAGGACATTTTGTTGCCTTCAAGGAAAACTCATCTGATTTCCTTTAAAATTCCTTTGAAATATTTTGGCCAAGGGTAGACACCTCAAATGCATAAGAGGAATTACATGGAATTAAATGGCAGCTCTACTAATTTTTTTCCATGCTGGAAGTTGTTTTCCCCCTCTCTCTATCAGGTCCTTGTTATAGTCCATAAAGTATGTAGGACCTCAAGGAAAAGCAAGGATTTTACTTGAGTTGCATCTCTCCATCACCACCACAATCACTATTACACATTTTACATGTGATATTGGGGAGAAGTAGTTCTAAGAACAGAGCTCAAAGAAGGTTCAGGGAATACAACTCCCAGCATCCCTTAGCCAGCACCACTATTTTTGATTTCTGCCCATGAGAAGCTGTATCTGCCCTCTTTCTAACAAGCCTCTGGCATGGCATTCATCAGATGAGCACATAGATTGAATCTGTTATTGGTAAAGCCAATGACACTAAATAGAGACTATGGCTTTGTATTAGGTAGATTATTTTTAAGAACCAAAACACTTCAGCCATTGGGTGTCAAGCTGTCTCTGCATAGATGTCTGCTGAGATGCCAACTGCCACTGAGTTAAATGCTCTGCCATGAAATTGTGGGGCAAGGAATCTGTAGCACTCCAGATGTTGGTACTCAAAAGCCATTAAACCTTGGGAATTACCACATTTTCATTTTTGAAAAAGAGCTGGCTGACCACTGCTCAGACCTGAGCTGCTGTCACATGGCGATTCAGCAACAAATTACAATGCGATAATTCCTACCTCTATGCGCATCCCGGCTGGTAGGCTGATTTCAAGTTAAAAGGTAATGCGATAAGCTCCAATGTCTGGAGAACTACAGGTTCCCTAGCCCTGGTCTTGTCCCACTCCCTTGCAAATATTGAATTAATTTATAGATATTGCAAACACATAAGATGTGGTAGTCTTAAAATGGAATCAGCTCAGCTCTGGGAAGAACGTTGCCATTGACTATTGGCCATAGTGATTTTATGAATCCTCAGGATTCAGAGACTGAGGAGCCATGATCTGTGTCTATGGCCTTCCTACTTGTTGACCAATGTGGGAAACAAAGTGTGGGATTAGAAACAGGACCCTGAGGAACCTGTGGTTCTCCAGAGATTGTTAGATTTCAACTCCCATCAGGTCTAGCCAGCATGACTAGTGGCCATAATGGACATGGGAATCCAACCCATCTTCCTCTACAGA